CTAGATTTTTCCTTTGCCCAAACATTTTTATTCTCTTTATGTTTATGCATTTGTGTAATTTGTATTATACCCTATATAAAGTCTGGTATTCTTAAGTTTTGGCTTAACATTCATTCATTCATTATGTAAGATTTTGCCTATGACATGAAAATTTCTTTTTGTCTATCTCGCCACACTTTAGTCCTTGCTATGCCCTGAGTTTTTGCCTACTAATTTTCATCTTTTCCTCCTTTCTCTTCTTCTGTTTAACATGGAATGCGTTGATGGTAGACAACTTTAAAGTTTTGTCCAGAGATTGAGGTGAGATTGAGGTGAGAGTAGGGGAGATTCTGGACTTGGACCTGGATGAGAAACTGATGAGGTCGGGAAGTGTCTGTCTTTAGAGGATGGGTGCATGGGATTTGCAGCTGTACCCATCCCTTGACGGATACTTGCCTCATGTTAGGACACATGCTAACGTGTCCAGGAGGGTGAGTTTTGGGGAAAAAAGGTTCATGCTAATGTTGCAAGCCAGAGGGTTACTCCCGTGGATTTGTCAGACTTTTTGGCATCTCAGCATCTGAGCCCACTTCCATCGCTGGTGGGATCCCCCACTTTATGGCTCTTGGTGGGAAGACAGACTACCTCCCACTACAAAATCAACACACCAGATACTTGCTCTGAGCCTCCCTTTCAGTCAGAATGGGGGCAAGTGACAGGCTCTGCTCATCAGATACACCTGCCCCAGCCTTGACACAGGGAAGGGGAGACCAGGAGGAACTTACTCTGCAGTGGCAGCAGCAGAAGGAATATGGATTCCTAGAGAGCAAGGGCAGCAGTGCTAGTGGCAGCAGTCAGGGTCCACAGTAGAGAGCTGCTTGGGAAATGTGGCTTCAGTGTCCTCCCTGGTTACTTCTGTGGCATGATTTGGGACATTGTTCCTGGATGAGTGAGTGTCTTCAAAGACTGGTTTATTAGTTCTCAAGAGAAACAGAGCCAACAACATATATTCATAAAGGCAATGGGGAAAGGAGATTTGAAATTCTAAGGAATTGGCTCATGGGACTATGGAGCCTTGTAAGTCTAAATCATGCAGGGTAGACCAGCAGGCTGAAGTCCTAAGGAGGAGGCAACATTGCCCTTTGAGTCCAGAGACAGTCTGCTGGCAGAATTTCCCCTTGCATGAGGAAGTGTCAACTTATTGGATAAGGCCTACCCACATTGTGGAGGGTAATCTGCTTTACTCAAAGTCCACTGAATTAAAGGTTAATCTCATCTTAAAATATTCTCACAGGTACATGTAGGAGGATTTTTGAAGATATGTCTCAGTTCCATGGCCCAGCCAAGTTGTCACATACAATTAACTATCACACCTGGCTATCCAGCCTTCTAGTGATTTTGGGAGATGGTCAATACTTTTTGCTATTATTTTGAGTCAGGGTCTCACTCTGTCACCCAGGCTGGAGTACAACCTGGTTCACTGCAGCCTTGACCTCCCGGGCTCAGGCAATCCTTCTGCCTCAACCTATAGCTGGGACTACAGGTGGGCAACACCATGCCCGGCTAATTTTTAAAATTTTTAGAGAAGAGATCTCACTATGTTGTCCAGACTGGTCTCATACTCCTGGGCTCAAGCAATCCTTCCCACCTAGGCCTCCCAAGATGCTGGGATTAAAGGCATGAGCCACTGTGCCTGGACTGTTTTTAAATAGTATTAAAATGAAATTCACATAATATGAAATAAACTATTTAAAGCAAATAATTCAGTGGTGTTTAGTATATTAGCAATGTTGTATAACCATTGCTTCTATCTAATTCCAAAACACTTTTACCTTCTCACAAGGAAACCCTATATCTGTCAGCAGTTCTTCCCCATCTTCTCTTTCTCCTGGTCCCAGGCAACTATAATATGCCCAATGTCTCTATGGATGTACCTATTTTGCATATTTCATATAAAAGGAATATGTGACCTTTTGTGTCTAGCTTCTTTCATTTAGCATAGTGACTTTGAGATCCATCCATGGTGTAGCATGAATCAGAACTTCATTCCTTGTTAAGGCTGAATACAAATTCATTGTATGTGTTAGCACATTTTGTTATGTACTCATCCCTCATCCACTGATGGACTCAATATTCTTTTGTTTTGTTTTGTTTGAGTTGGAGTTTCACTCTGTCACCCAGGCCGGAGTGCACACACTCATGGCCACTGTAGCTGCGACCTGCTGGGCTCAGTGATCCTTCCACCTCAGGCTTCCAAGTAGTTGTAACTACAGGTACACACCATCATGCCCAGTTAATTTTTAAAAATTTATTGTAGAGATGAGGTTTCACCAAGTTGCCAGGCTGGTCTCAAACCCATGGGCTCAGGCAATCCTCTCACCTCGGCCTACCAAAATCCTGGGATTATAGGTGTGAGTCACCATGCCCGGGCTCAATAGTCTTTTAATGAAGTCCTGTTTTGCTATAATGAGGCATAATTGGTGTCTGTCATTTGTAACTAAGAACCCTGAAAGAAACATGCTAGAACGTAGCCAATCATCAGGAAATGACTCAAATGTAGAATTGGAAAACCATGAGGATTTTTTTCCAATGAATATTTTCTTCTCTCTGTGGATTTGCTTCTTTAGCCTCTGCTATGGTTTGAATGAATATCACTCTAAGTTCATGTGTTGGAAACTTAATCTCCAGTGTAATACTGTTGGGAGATGGAGCTTGATGAGAGGTGATTAAGTCATGAGGGTTGCTCCTTCATGAATGGATTAATGTCATTATGATGGGAGTGGGTAAGTGATTGTGAGAGTGGGCTTGTTATAAAAAGAGTTTGACTGCCTCTTGCTCACTTGCTCTCTCACTCTCATCCTTTCTTGCCCTTACTCCTTCTGCCATGGAATGAAGCATCAGCAAGGTCTTCACCAGATGCCAATGCCATGTCCTTGAACTTTCCAGTCTCCAGAACCATGAATCAAATACATTTCTGCTTATTATAAATGATCCATTCTCAGGTATTCTGTTATAGCATAACAAAATGAAAAAAAGAGTTCCTCATCCCATGGGGATAAGAATCAGGCAGGCAGAAGATGGTTACACATTCCACCCAAACTATACAGTGATGTGAACTGGCTCAACCAGCTATGTTGAATGGGAAAGGATGTGATATGAACATGGCTCCTGAGGCCCCACCACACTGTGACTATGTGGATTAGGAAGATCCATCCCAAGAAAGGGGTGGGCCGTGTGGGTTGGAAGGACATCCCAAAAAGTGTCTACCGTGAGGCCTGGAGTTTGTAAATCACAGAATGATGGAGACTCCTTGAGACAACTTCCCTTAGAATCAGGCTACTCATCATCCCAAACATGTTCATGGAGTAAGTCCATCCCAGTAATGTGTCAAAAAAGAGAAGACATTGTTGGAGAAAATCCTTATGGTTTTCCAGTTCTGGATTGGAGTCATTTCCTGATGATTGACTATATTTGAACATGCGTCCCTCGGGGTCTTAGTTACAGATGAGATGCCAATTGTGACTTATTTTAGCAGAACAGGATTTCATTAAAAGAATATTGAGTCTGTCAACAGATGAATGGATAACAAATTGTGCTAACACATACAATGAAGTTGCATTCAGCCATAAAAAGGAATGAAGTTCTGATTCACGCTATCCCCATTTATAACATGAGAAGATACAGTATCATTAATCTTCTCTGAAAAAGACCAGACAAAAGAAAGCAAAGGCTGCACAGAAAACAAGGACTAGTCCCAGGTCTGAACAAAGGAAGCAATAAGAAAAAGGCTCTAATAACTGAATTCCACATCTGTAGGCTCAGAACCAGATCACCAAGGTGAGGAGACTTATGCTCCCAGGGACTTTTTTTCTGGGATTTGTCTCCATTATAGTGGCATCATTTCTAATATCTTCAAGTTTTGATCCAAGAGTTACACCTAAGTTTTAGATAATATTCTATGACATCGTTGTTTGGTCCAAAGAGGCCAAAAGCAGATGGGACAATTATTCTCCTCTTGTCTCTAATGATGCCCTTAGGGAATCTGGTTCCAGTAGCCAAAGGAGGCATTTGTAAATGCCTGCTCTGTGAGTGTCCTAAATATCTTTCCTACATAGAGGACTGAGAGCATGAAGCCTGCTTTTCACACGCTCAGGAACTGCCCATGGTTCCAATTCAATCCAATCCCTAAAATAAGTAGAATCATCGACATTTATGTCAAAGTGAAGAACAACTGACTGACAGCACCGACCTCACCCAGGTAAGATTATGGAAATGGAGACAGCAATATTAATTAAGATGTGAAGTTCTAGGAACCTCCTTTGCCACATCTTCCGGATAGACCAAGTAAAAGGAAGAGTCCAAAATCCACAGGTTGTCACTTGAGATGAACCCAGCATTAATCATCCAGTTTGCTAGTCTCTTTCTGAGCTACTAAGGAGTTGGGTAGCTGGGGGAAACTGAGAAGTGTAATACAGACATACATAGTCTTAGAGTCAGGCTGTTTTTGTTTGCTTGTTTGTTTTTGAGTCAATCTCTCTTGAGGCTGGAGTGCAGTGACAGTATCACAGTTCACCTCAGCCTCAACCTCCTAGGCTCTGGTGATCCTTCTGCCTTGGCATTCTAAGTAGCTGGAACTACAGATGTACACCACCATGCCTGGCTAATGTTTTGATCTTTTGTAGAAATGAGGTCTTGCTATGTTTCCCAGGCTGGTCTTGAACTCCTGGGCTCAAGATCTCCTCCCACCTTAGTCTCCCAAATTGTTGGGATTACAGACATGAGCCACTGTGCCCAGCTGTTTTCAATATTAAATATAGAAAATAATAAACAGTGAGTCCACCAGGAAAAGCACTGAAAGAGAGTGTTGGAGACTGGAGGTGTAGGCGAGGTGGCCACATCCCCTTTTAGCCACTCCATGAATTGCTTTGCAGACCTGGTTCTGCCTGGAGCCAGATCACATCTCACCCACCTGCGTCTAGGGTTTTGAATTCACTGTCCCCTATTCCCCTAAGTCCAGGTCTATGAGAGAGATAAGCCAGTCAAGTGACTCTGAATTTCTCCTCCTGGTACTCTCCAGGCAGCCCCAGCAGCAGCTGCTCCTCTTTGCACTCTTCCTGAACATGCACTTGGCCACAGTCCTGGGAAACCTGCTCATCATCCTGGCCGTCAGCACAGATGCCCATCTGCACACCCTATGTACTTCTTCCTCAGCAGCCTGTCCTTTGTGGACATCTGCTTCTTCTCCAGCACTATCCCCAAGATGCTGGCCAATCATGCACTTGGGAGCCACACCATCTCCTTCCCTGGGCGTCTCTCACAGATGGATTTTGTTTCCATGTTCACAGACATGGACAATTTCCTCCTGGCTGTGATGGCATATGACCATTTTGTCGTCGTGTGCCACCCCTTACATTACACAGCAAAGATGACCCATCAGCTCTGTGTCCTGCTGGTGGTTAGATCAGAGTTGGTTGCCAACCTGAATGCTCTGCTGCATACACTGCTGATGACTCAACTCTCATTCTGTGCAGACAGTGCCATCCCCCACTTCTTCTGTGACGTGACTCCCCTCCTGAAGTTCTCCTGCTCAGATATGCACATCAAGGAGATGATGATTCTCACCGAGGATGCCCTGATCATGATCACCCCATTTTTCTACATCCTGGCTTCCTACATACAAATCACCTGTGCTGTCCTGGGGGTCCCATTCCCAAGGGGAAGGTGGAGAGCTTTCTCTACCTGTGGTTCCCACCTAGCTGTGGTTTTCCTCTTCTATGGCACCAACATATCTCTGTATTTAACACCTCATCCTCCCACTCAGCTGACAAAGATATAGCAGCTGCTGTGAAGTTCACAGTGGTGACTCCCATGCTAAACCCTTTCACCTACAGCTTGAGGAACAAGGACATAAAAGGGGCTCTTGGGAAAATGACTGGTAGGAAGACTTGCTCTTACTGATGTAGGTACCATGAACTTAACTATCGCTCCCAGGCATGGCAATCTTTTCAAGTCCTGAAATGTAGCAATGTATTTGTCAAGGTGTCACTCAGGAACTTAGAATAACTATGCCCAGTTATTAGACACTTATCAATGAAGTCTGACATAGCTATAATCTGCTCTCTTAACTAGGTAATGGTATTTGTTTCTAATTATCATATTTTAAATTATTTTACTTAAATGCCAAATTCCTCTTTTCCAAGTGACCACTTTGAAAGGCCACATTTAACAAATATCTCTGTGGATTTCTGGTTGTAAATGCTCTCAGAAACTACAGCAATGGTTTTCAATCCCGGCTACATTTAGTGTCACCTGAGGACCTTGGAAAATATATACAGCAGGTCCTCCAATAAATGTTACATCAGACTCCTGTAATGCTGCTTTATTCAATGTCATTTTGTTATAATGTTGATAAGAGAAGAAATTAGGTTTCCAGCCAGAGCCACTGTCTGTGTGGGTTTGCATGTTTCCCCCACATCTGCTTGGGTTTTCATTGGGTACTCTGGTTCCTCCAACATCCCAAAGATGTAGTAGATGAATTGGTGAGTCTACACTGTCCCAGTCAGAGTGACTGTGGTTTGTCATGAAAAACCATTTTATCTGGGGTTGGTTTCTGGACCTTTAAAGATCCCATTGCTGGCCTTTGTCTATCATTTCTTCATGTGTTTTTGTCCTCATGGGCTTTATTCTTGGATCTTTTCCTTCTCATGCTCCACTCTGTTCCTGGACAATCATACTCACTCTCATAGCTCCAAATACATCATGTGCTGATGACTTCTGAATCCATGTGCAGAAAGACCTTACCCTGAGTCACATAACATCTGACTCCTGGGTCCCTCTACCTGGAGCCCTACAAGGCTTCCAACACGACTTGTCCAAATGGGACTGATCATCTCTAAGACATTCATGCTTCTGAGCCTGAAACACACACACACACACACACACTCTCTCTCTCTCTCTTCTCCTGCATCTATCCTTATCTTATCTTAATAAATGGCACCATACAGTCACTCAGAGAACAACATGGGCATCACCGTAGATTCTCTCATTTCAGCACCATGAAGAGCTCTCACTCTAACTCCTCAGTATCTCTCACAAGTCTTCTCACCATCTTCACTGTTTTTGCCTTTGTTCAAGGATTTACTTTTCTTCTGAATTCTTGTAATTCAGAAAACCTCCCTGATCACAGTTTTCCTTACACAATTCCACTTTCCACACCATAGCCACAGTAACCTTGTTAAAATGAATATTGGTGTATGCCACTCATTTGATGATAATTTTTGAAAGTACTTGCACCAGCCCAGGAAAAAAATCCAAACTTTTGAATATGACTTAGAGTAGAGAGCCCATAAAGTGTATCTTTCCAACATGAACACTTTTGAGAGGAAATGAAGGAGTTACCCAGGACAACGATGTAAACTAGGACTGTTTGGGCTGCCGTGGTCTGGTGCCCATCTGACACTCTCTCCTTTCTGTCCTTGTTCTACACTCTGCAACCTAGTTTCAGTCACATCTGGTTCTTCTTCCCAAAGAGGCCACCCTGTTTCAAGGACTCAGCCTCTTCCCTTTGTTCAGAGCTCCCTGACACACTTTCCCCTCTGCCCTTGTCTCCCTTTGGTGGAAATTACCCAGTTACATTTAAGACTCAAGTCCTACCTTACCATTCCACATCCACCCCCAGTAGAGCAGATGACCCTTTGCTTTGTGCTATGGACATACCCTGAAAGATGACCTTGTTGTGGATACTGTGAAGTGCCACCAAGATCCCGTTCCAGGAGTAAAAAGGCTTATTCCCCTAGCAGCTGGGATTACTGCTGGCAGAGGCTCTCAGCTTTCAGCCTTGTCCAGATACTGTCTTAGTTCTGACCCCAGTGACTGACCAGCACAGGAGTTTAACTCCTAGGCTCCCTTGTCCCAAATGAGCAACCCTGAAGTGCCATCTTAGCTGAGCTGAGCGGAGGCACTGTAGCCCGACTTCCTCCTCTCCCCAAACTTGCCTCTTTTTCATCTTTTTTCCTCCACAGCTGTTGCTCCCAGGAGCTCTCCTCAACAAAGTTCCCGCAAACTAGTCTCCCTTCCAGAGACACCTTCCAAGGGAGGCCAGCCCGCAGAGAGGACTCTATTCATATTTAGACTCATCACCAGGCTGTATGGAGGGAGCACATGCTAGGGAATGAATTAATGAATGACAGAAGTTCATGCCCTTGGGATAGCATCAGAGGCAATTAGGGCTCTCATCAGAATTTGAAATTAGTTTTTAAATTTTATCTGTATTACCACTCTTTTGTCCATGCTATAACATGCATAAATGTACTGATAGGCTAACTGCCATCTTTTCTTTTTTCTCTTATTTTTCTAGAGTCTGGGTTCGGTCAGCTGCCCAGGCTAGAGTGCCGTGGTATAACCATAGCTCATTGCAGTCTCAGTCTCCTAGGCTCAAGCAATCCTCCCACCTTAGCCTCCCGAGTAGCCTCCTAAGTAGGAACCACAGCCCTGTGCCACCACACTCAGCTTTGTTTTTGCTTTTGGGGTTTTTTTGTTTTTTTTGAGTTGGAGTCTCACTCTGTTGCCCAGACTGGAGTGCAGTGGCCGCTCCTGGCCACCGCAGCCTCAACCTGCTGGGCTCCGGCGATCCTTCCGCCTCAGCCTTCCGAGTAGCCGGAATTACAGGCATGTGTTACCATGCCTGGCTGATTTTTTAATTTATTGTAGAGATGAAGTCTTGCCAAATTGCCCAGGCGGGTCTTGAACCCGCGAGCTCAGGCAATTCACTCACCTCAGCCTCCCAAAGCGTGGGATTATAGGCTGAGCCACCGAGCCCAGCTTCTTCTTCTTCTTTTTTTTTTTAAGAGACAGTGTCTCGCTGTGATGCCCAGGCTTGTCTTTAATTCCTGGCCACAAGCAGTCCACCCAGGGGTGAGCCATTGTGCCCAACCTTTCATTTCCATTTTTTCCTTTCTTTTTCTCTGTTTAACATGGACTATGTTGATGGAAGACAACTTTAAAGTTTTGTCCAGAAAGTATAGAATGTAAAACCGGGATTGGGATGAGAGTAGGGGAGAGTCTGGACTTGGATGAATAACTGATGAGGTTTTCAAGTGTCTTTCCTTTCAGAATGGGTGTTTGGGCTTTCAGCCGTGTGAGGGATACTTGCCTTATGCTGGGACGCATCCTAATGTGTTCACAAGGGTGAGCTTCGGGGAAAAAGTGTTCATAGTCATGTTGCAAGCCAAGGGGTGACTCCAGTGGATTTAGTCAGACCTTTTGGCATCTCAGCACCTGAGCCCACTTCCATCCCTGGTGGGATCACCTACTTTATGGTTCTTGGTGGGAAAAAAGACTACCTCTCACTATAGAAATCAACACACCAGATATTTGCTTCTGAGTCTTGCTTTCAGTCAGAATGGAGCATGTGACAGGCTCTGCCCATCAGATATACCTGCTCTAGCCCTTGACACAGGGAGGGGGAGGCCAGAAGGAACTTGCTCTGGCAGTGGCGGCAGCAGCAGGGAGACAGATTCCTGGAGTGTGGAGGCAAGAGTGCTAGTGGAAGTAGCCAGTGTCCACAACTGAGAGCTGAATGGGAAACATGGATTCAGTGACCTCACCAGCAGCATGATTTGGGAGCATGATGTGGTCTTCTAAGACTGTTTTATTAGTTCTCCAGAGAAACAGAACCAGGATATATTCATCAATGGGGATGAAGAGACTCTAAATTCTAAGGAATTGGCACACATGACTGTGGAGGCTTGTCAGTTCCAAAATATGCAGGGTAGACCAGCAGGTTGTATGCTGCAGTTTGAGTACAGGGGCAGTTTGTGGGCATAAGGAAGTGTCTTTTTCTATGAAGGTCTTCAATGGATTGAATAAAGCCCATCCACATTATGGAGCGTGATCTGTTTTACTCAAAGTCTACCGAGTTAAATGTTAATCTCATCTTAAAAACACCTTCAGAGCCGGGCTCGGTGGCTCAGCCTGTAATCCCAGCACTTTGGGAGGCTGAGGTGAGTGGATTGCCAGAGCCCGCGGGTTCAAGACTCACCTGGGCAACTTGGCAAGACCTCATCTCTACAATAAAT